CAGCAAAGAAAGAAAGTTATAGTCACTTTTACCAGGAAGAAAACTTCTCATTTTTATTTGGATGAATACTTTTAAAATAGGGTTAAAGGAAAAAAAAAAATCTTTGACCCAGTCATATAGATATATATAAAATGCTAATCACCATTTCTCCTTACTTAAGTTTTATAATAAGCACTGATATTATTCTGTTTTTGCAAAATCTCTGTAGAAGGCTTTTGTTTATTTAGATTTATAGAAGGTGACTGCTGGAAGGAACTCAAGTTTCCATTGCACAAGAGCTGGGTTCACAGAATCAGAGAACTGTAACCTGCATTCCCTTTACAGAGACTCCTGTGTCCAAAGAGCAAATCTATAAAAAGCGAAAAACCCACAGGCCTGTTCTAATTAAATGCCAAAGTTTTTCTGAATGCTCCATTTATAATATTTTCTCCCTCTCCTGACCCCACAGAGTCCTCCTTGGATAATTTCTGATTCCAGGTCTCAATTTTTTCAGAGGTCACTTTCATTCCCCCTCTCCTCCCCATCCTCCGATTGCCTTCTTCCCCCTGCTCCTCCTTTCCCTTTCCTTCTCCTTGTCCTCTGAAATCTCTTCATAAGGAAACCATTTTCTTGAGCCTCTAACACCCCGTCTGATGCCCCTTTTCAAAGTTCAGCCTGGAGGAAGAGCAGGAGCTGCTCTTGTGCCAGCCAGAGTCCTGCTGTGCAGCCGTGTGGAAAGGGACCTGTTTCTGTTTCAAAAAGAAAATACTAGCTTGAAGTTTTGTTTTGTGCTCAGTACTGGCTCTTGCCACAAGTCTTTAGTTGAACCCCACAGTGGTGACTTAATCTGTTGGTCACTGGTCCTTCTGAATAGAGAAGCAAAGCTCAGTGTCCTTCCCGGGAAAAACACACATGCAAAAAAGCCTGCACCTATCTCAGGGTCACAGCCCTTCTGCGCTAACAGGCCACAACTCTCGTAAGTTACTCCTCCCCTCAATAGAGGCTGGACACACTTGGAGGGATGTAGAATGAGGAGAGAGCTAAGGGCTGGGTGGTGTTCCTGCCCTTTTATTCATTAAGAGATCATTCTTTAAAATTAATATGGTGGTCTGAATTCTTTACTCCTTAAACACTACAATACAGATCCCTAACCCCCAAAAGAAATTCAATGATGTTGATACTGGAACTAATCTGCAATACCTCTAATACCATCACCTCATCAAGTCCACAGAGTTAAATCCATCCACTTTTCCACACATGGGGCATTTGAACTTCAGTTGATTTGCTCCTAGAGATTTTGAAAACTGTCATAGCGATATGCCTGAAAGTTCAGGGTCAACATTTGCAAAGAACTTCACTTGAAAAGTTATTTGGTTAAAGTTTCCATTGTTATTTATTACCCAAGGAAAGAGATTTACAAGACCATCTTTGCATCTTATTAGTTCTATTGAATTCCATAAATCTTAGGTGAAAAATATTTAAATATCCCCTCGGCACAATAGAAAGAGAAGACGTTTCCTCATTGTCTGGAGCAGGTGGAGGGAGTCGCTCTTCTCTGCAAAGATCTGTTCCAAGAGCTTTTCCAGCAAGCAGAGCTCCATGCTTTGGGCTGTAAATCATGTTTAGTAAATCATTTGCTTACCAGGTGTGACTCTGAACAGATTTAGATGCCATGGAAGTAGCCTTTCTGTGAATTAGAAGAACTTACATTGTTGTTGTTGTTTTGTTAAATAACTTTCAGCAAAATGTTGATGTCAGCCTGTGCTCTTTGGCAACCTTCCGTCACTGTCCTTACCTCTTTTCCTTTTAATTAACAATAATTTGACCCCAGATTTGTGTGGTCCTAGTTCTGGGCAAACCCCAGTTTCCAAGCCAGCATGGGGGCATCCCTAATTCTCCCTCTACTTCTAAAAAACATTTCTGTGTATTAGTAGCAGGGAAAAGTCCATGTAGAATTGGGTAGGCTGGGGATTTAATGCGTGGAAAACGTGGTTTGCTTTTAGACAACTTTTAGGAAATAACTTACTGTCTTCTAATAATGTTCAGTCACTTGCTTTGGTAAGTAATTACCACGCCATTTCTGTTCTGCCCTCGTCTTCGGGTAATAATCTAGCTTAGAGAGAGTACTAACAAGTCGCTGTTAGATTTAATTTGTTCCCTAACCCATCTTGTGAATATCAATGCTAACAGTGTCTTGTGTTTTTTTTTTTTCTTGTGTGTTTTTCTTTTCTTTTTTCTTTAAATCAATGTGCTTTTTTCCTATGTGAATAATTCTATGTCTAGAAACAGCCATGGAGTGATTTTGCTGTTCTGAATGGGGGAAAGATTAATAGTGACATTTGGAAGGCAAGTATATTGTCAGATTTTTAGATCATTTAATAGTTTTGTTTCCTTTCTGCATGGCCGTGGCTGTACATTTTTTCTTCTTCATGAAAATTGTGCCTTCTGCAGGGATGGAGTGATGGGCTTCTTGCTGGGGGCGTGCAGCTTCCATCCATGCTGTCTTTTTTTGATGTCTCCCATCATGAGAATGATTTCAAGCTGATTGCACCAGGTCCCCTGTGTCTTGTAACAGCCAGCGCTTGCGTACCAAGTCAACACCCAGCAGCCCCTGCATGCCGTGCTCTGCCTAAGTTCACACCCACTCTCTGCCTCTTGCTGGGGGCTTTCTCTTTGATATTTGAGGCAGAGTCATGAGACTCTCCCCACTGTACATTAATAGGATCTGTTTTCCTCTAGGATTTGCATGCAGCCACAGTTAACCCAGACCCCAGTTTAAAAGAGTTTGAAGGAGCAACACTACGCTATGCATCTTTGAAACTCAGGTAGGAGGGTGGAAAGAGTGTGCCTTTGAAATGTTTGACTTCTGCATATAATCTTTGCAACAGAATTCTAAGACCAGTTTTATGTTTTTCTTTCTAGAAACGCCCCTCATGCTGATGACGATGATTCTTGTAGTATCAACAGTGACCCAGAAACCAAGGTTTGTCAGATACAGGCTTTCAGCAACTAGTTATAGTCTTAAATCAAAGTAATAGCATTGGATAATGGCCCATTATTTTACAAACCACCAATCCTGAACCACTTAATAAGTAATTATCCCTTCGTCTTCTCTTAGTCTCTTTAAGAAAATTCCTATGACAATTTAGGTTTGGGTTTTTTCTGTTAACCATCAAGACTCCCTGAGTCTCATCTCATCATTTCTTTATACAATGTGCTAAGTTCAAGTGGGCGTCACTTCAGAAGCTCTCAAGGGTACCTGCTCTACCTTGCTGAGCAGTGGGAGGGAGCTACCCTCCCAGCAGAGCAGCCTCACACCTCTGCAAGGTGAAATGGCTTGCCATCTCTCTTGTGACACAAGTTGGAAGCACTGTTTTATGGTGAAATTGAAAGCAAGTTTTGTTTCTGGACTTTTGATGAGGTGATTTCTGATGGACATGAGGCCTGTGTAGGGCCACATGCTGAGGGGGGGCGCCATGTATGAGGTTTAATGTTAACAAAGTCACTGTATTGACCTTTTTACTTTGATTTGAATGTGTATTTTATAACTGAAGCCCAGTGGGACAGTGGAGCATGCATCAGGAGGATGGAGCCCTGGCTTGCTCACAATCCCATCAGCCTCTGCCTACCTAGACAGTTCTCGGCTGCCTGCTGTCTTCATCATCCAAGGCCCTCTTAGGCCTCCCTATCTCTTCCCCACTCAGTAATTTACCCCTTGTAGGCCCTGGCCTTGAATGAGGAGCAGGCTGTGGGAGAGTATACATACCAATGGCATCTTGAGAAAGGTTGTGGCAAGCCCTGCCTATGCTGGTAGATCTGCGTTGTGTCTAGCAGATAACACTGGTGTGCCCCTTGCTCACCTACAACCCAAGTAGCTAGCCTGCTCTGGTGTAATATTTCAGTGTGTTGTTGGGCCCTTGTCCATCGTTGATTAGGATGATTGGCCCATTTCTCTTCAGCCCCTTCTCTTCCTCCCCCTCCCCCATCTCCATGACCTCTGTGCCCTGGGGAGAGACAAATCCTTCCAGATTCTTTTTCTACTTGTTCTAAATCACAAAAGATCTGTGTCTGTAAATAAAACAAATAATTTTTCTTAGAATCTTAAGGATCAGTTGTCTGGTAAACCTGTAAATCAAAGTGGCAGCACAGACACACAAGCACACATGGCTGCACACATGCATAGTCCCCCAAAGAGCAGACTGTAACTCTGAAGGGGTTCACGAACCTTCCTAATATTTTATACATTAAATACATTTCATAGTTGGTACCAGTCTGTGAGCATGTACATAATTCTAAGCTCTTCATTTAACCTCTTCTCATTTTGAAATAATTATGGATTTACTGAAGAGTTGTAAAGATTGAGCTCCTCCCATATGCCCTTCACCTTGCTTTTTCTAATATTAACGTCTTCATAATTGAAGTACAATTAAACAGTTTCCCCACGAATTTCCCTTTTCTATCATAGTACCCACACCAGGATTCCATGTTCAAGCAATGGGCATTTTAGCAATTATTTCACATCTCTTTCCACGGTTCTCAGTTCTCATTCTTAATCTCATTATACTACCCATTTCATCAGCAGCATCGGTCCCCATTTAGACATCAGTGTCATTGGAGCAATTCACAGTGTTACAGAGCCAAGCTACAACTTTATAAAAATAGGGGACTTTTTTCTCTTAAGTTATTGCTGATATTACCAGGTCAAAGGCCATTGGTTTATGGCTTCTGTCACATCTGCAAAATCACTTTCAGAAAGCCTACAGTGCCATATAATCCCATCAGTAATAGAAAAGACTCTACCTCTTGTTTAATTCACCCTAAGCTTTACCAGTTTTATTTGTCTCAGTTTTATTGCATTTGAACTATTTTCTAGTATTAAATTTCTGCCCTCCCCTTTCCCTTGTTCCCTCTCCCACTCCCTTCTCCCCCTCCTTCCCTCCCTCCCTTTCCTGTGTAAAAAATTCAACCCAGAGTTCCATGTATGCTGAACACTCTTTGTACCACCGAGCCATGTCTCCAGACCTAAAATCTCCTCTTCAATTATCAGGAAATAGGATGTGTTTCATGGAATCATTTAAAGCCCAACTGAACACTTTTTTTTCTCATTTTTCTAGCTTTTCTTCTACTGTCTCCTCTCTCATGCAGCATATAATCCAGGAGGCCACTTGCATTTAGTTCCTACACATTTTTAAATGCAAAACTATCTGCCATGATGCTCTAAAATGATTCTAACATTTTCTTTTTCTCTTTGCTGATTTTTGTCATGTTTCCATAAGAAAATGTTTTAAATATTCTGTTTATTCAGATATTCATTGATAATTGCAAGAAGACTAGTTAGTCCCTGCTATATTTAGGTGGCCAGGCAGCTCACACTGAAATTCCCATTATTTAGAAATTGTTCCCCATGCTTATCACTTTCGTGCTTTAAAATCTGAAGTTAGTCCTTCTCCCATAGCACAGAGTACATCGCTGACTGAATGCATAATTAACAGTTAAACCAAATTGTAGAAAAGTAATGCTTTGAAGCACACACACCAGTTCTTTTCCATCCTTTGTGTGACTGCTCAGACTTCTGTAAAGAAGTTGTGCCACCTGGTGGACAATATTGAGAATTACATCTTTGAGGAAAATGGCTACATCTCAAATGGAGTCATAGGATTGTATAGAGCTAGAAGTGACCTTCGTTGGTGGTAGAGATAGCATTGAACTTGAGTCTTGAGCCCCTGACCACCTCATGCTACTATCTTTGTCTTATCATATACCAAGTCAAGTCTTTTTTTTTGGTCTTTTTGAGACACGGTCTCCCTGTAGCCATAGCTGTCCTGGAATCACTATGGAGACCAGGCTGGCTTCGAACTCACAGAGAACCGTCTGCCTCTGCCTCCCAGTGCTGGGATTAAAGGTGTGAGCCACCACGCCCAGCCCCAAGTCAAGTCTTTTTGTGACATTTTTGAAGTGATGTTTTTAGGACATGGTTCTTTGAATTCATGATAAAGGAAATGGTAAAAGAAGATTATATTGTCCCAAGCATCAAATCCTTTGGATTTCAGTCTTCGCCTCTAAAATGAATATGTGTCACATTAGAAGTCCCTCTTGTTCTGAGAAGTTGGAAGCGTCTATGTGAAACAGTAGCCCCAACTGTAGCATCCATGAAATAGTTCTGTCTGTCCTGTATTCAAGTCTGGAGAAGAAAAAGAATCCGTTAAACCAGGACTTCAGGGAGGGAGCTAGCTCACCTTCTCTACAGGTGCCCTGCATTCTACTCATGAAATTTTCCTGCAAACATGAACATCACTATTACCCCCCCCCCACATTGTAGGTAAGAAACTGATGCTTTCAACAGGTTTAGTAATTAATTTCATCACACAATGTTATCATCTGATAGCTGATGGAACCAAGACTTGAACCCAGATACATATGATTCCCAAGCTCAGCAAGGGTCAGGCCCACCTGTTCTAAGCTACTGCTTCTTCAGGCTGAAGGTCACACTGGCCGTCTAGGTAGCTGAGATTGAGGTAGAAGCAGTGCTAGAGGTGGACATGGGTTCTAGAACTGGGAGGTCATTGCCTGAGGTCAGACTTCTCACCCCTCTGGACTCCTGTGGTCCATTGCTTTGCAATATGCTGTCCTTGGCAAAGTTTGATTTGGTTGTTCTGGAGCAGGACAAACAATTGTGTTTCTGCTGTCTGAGTGATGCAGATGCCACAGGCCTATAGAATAGAACACTGAATAGCAACCCTATCAAGTTTGAAACTTGACCAAAAGACACCATTTTGGTATATCAACTGTGGTAGCACTTTCTAGTTCTTTGCAGACAGTGCTTGCTGGCTTGGGTGTTTTATTAACCAGGCACTGGGTCTTATGAAAGCTCGCTAGTTTCCAGCTCTTGTCATACTCTGCCCACATGGAGAGAAAAAGGAAGGAGTGATACCAATCAGTGGTAAGTAGGTTTGACAGAGGAACTCTGAAACAAATGGTGAATGAGCATGAGGATCTACTATTTCTCTATGAGTTTTATTTATCTGAGCCCTCCCTTGGTTCCTATTAGCATAGATTTTCATGAGGTAATTATATTAGCCAGCTACTGACTAGATTAGCACTAATAGATAAACAGGAAATCGTAGGGAGTGTCTTTGTTCATTCAGATTTATTTCTGGTCTGTGTAACAAATTCATTATCATTACTTAGCATTTATATGAGATTTTATAGCTGCATGAAGTTCTTATAATTGATTTTTATTCCTGTGGTTTAGATGGGTTTTTTTTTTCAGAAATTCTGTTCTGTAATAGAAGTTTTATTTGATTTGCATGATTAATTTATTAATTGGGTCAAAAACATGTATTGAATGCTTAATGCTAGAGGAACTTACATACTTAGTACTTGGTATAATGGTTAAGACATGAACTCTGGACCCAGACTGCCTGGGTTCAAAATCAGGATCTTGCTGACTGGGTGACTTTCAGTAAGTTACATTGCCTCTCTGAGCCTTAGTTTTCTTGTCTGTAAAATGAGAATAAATGATGCCCATATATTATTGCTATTGGAAACTTTTAGTTAAAATATTATAAGCTGAGTGCTTGGAGCTTTCTCTACCTCATGCTAAAAGCTGAGCTATTGGGTCCTGAGCCAGGGCTATACTGAGGCATCTCCCTAGGGTGACAGGGTAGCTCATGTGGTTTCACTGAAGGGGATGGTGCTTGAACTATTGCATGCACTTGAATTGTGACAGGATTTAAGTAAACCCCCCTACCACATACACACACACACACACACACACACACACACACACACACCCATCCCCATCCTAAGACTATTTCCAGATCTTTGTTTATTATTATTATCATCATCAGTATTGTTCCAGTGCTGAGACTGAACCAAGGGCCTGGAGGCATGACAGGCACAAGTATTCTATCGATGAGTTCAAATAAGTGTAGAATTTTGGAAATGATTTCATTTTCAGGAGTGCTAAGGCATTTAGCATTA